CACAGACTAAAGTACAAAGCAGTGAGGATCATTAATAGGCAATCGTTTGATGGGCGGAATTGCAAAAAACGCATGAACACATCGGCTAGTCTCGTGCGCGTTGCTATTTTTGTTATTTCTTCTGTTATTTTCTTATTTTTCACTTAATTTTTTGATTTTTTGTAGCTTTTTTAAATTTTATTTCATCACTTATCTCACTGTTTTATTATAACTGTCACCAGCTTATTGCTACTTTAATATTGCTAAAATGCTGTTATTTTTCATAATTCATAATTACACGTTTGGTTTAATCTGCCTAACCCTTTGTACGTTATTGTTTAACTTTCCGCCTGCTAAACCATCTTCCATTTATCCCTAATCCTCTATAACCTTTTCTTTTTTGTAACGGTTGTTTCTTAATGCGTTGGACAGCTGTTATATATTTGTTTTTCTCTTTTAAACCAAAATTGATCCATAAAAGTTGCGGATTTATACTCACTCTTTCTACATATATCCTTTAACTTACTTTTGTACGTATACTCCACCACACTGACGAAGTTCAGTTGTGGTGCTGAGAAAAATTGTATGCGAGTTTAAAAAATTCTTTTTGAACTAAACTTTAGTTTCAGGTGTTATGCCTTTACATTCCTATTTTTCAATATTTTTTCAATACTATCATCATCGCCATTACGAGTATATATATATATATATATATATATATATATACACATATATATGTATTAATAATTATCATTATTATCACTATTACCGTTATTATTACTATAATGACTGTTATTCACAAAAGCCCGCCTTATTAATAACCCCACTGTATTACTGCATTATTACCATTATTATTGCTTTTCTTTCTTAAGTCTACAATTCTATTCTTATTTTTCTCTTTATTACGTCACATTCTTTTAGCAAATTAATAAACACTGGAGCGATCAGCGTTTGTACGATGAGACAAGGAGGATCATTGTAGCTCAAATACAACACATCACATATCAAAGCTTCTTGCCCATTGTTCTCGGCGGCGAAAAAATCAAGTGCGGTTGTTCATTTAAATTTTTTTTTGTTTGAGCTAATACAGATGTGCACAAACGTCTGTGTGTTCCACACGCCATACTTTTCAGTCAACTAGAACATGCCTGCTTGCATGTTTATCTAGCAAATTTATTAATTTCCGCTCTTACGAAACTTATATTTCAATCAAATTTAAGACATGGGTGCAAAATTTAAAAAGAACGCAAAAGCACAAAAAATGCTTCTTTTCTTTTGCTCGGTCTTCCGGTACAATTTTTTTTTCATCACACTGGTGGCACTTTAAACAAAAAAAATGAAACTTTAGCTTTTTTTAGGAAATACAATTTAGAAATGCACCGCATGGGTTTTGCTAGCGATTACGATATCTCACTTAATCCGTCAACGTTGAACGAATTCGCAAGCACTGTTTACTATATTCCATACACCATGTTTGGCAATTCTACAGGTACATTTTCAAGTTCAATGTGTCTAAAAATACAATTTATCTAAAAAAAATTTCGACGTTGCTAAAAATGCAAAGTCTTTCTTCTGTTTTGTTTTGCTATCTTAATTTCGCCCCTTCTCCTTTCTGCTGATAACTTTCATTTTCGTAAACATTTTTTTCGTCGCATAATTAATCCTTTGTCGCCTTCTTCTGTGGCAACCGGCTTTTCCTTTTTCATGCTTTACTTTTCTGTGTCTTACCCTGCTTGCGGTTCTGAATTTGCACCGCATCCATCGTGCTCACAAGGTTCATTTGTGGTGCTCCGTTAAGATGTTCATGAACTGATGGAGAGAAACATCTTGCCTCTTCATTTTATTGCCCTCGTGTTAATTCCCTTCCAGCTCAGCCGTAATGTCTTTAAACTGAATAACTTTTCAAGTTGCTAAAACACTAGTTATTAGTTGCTAAGATATAAATTATGAAGGAGTATTAGTTCTCTTACAGTATTCCTTTGCCCAGTATCAAGTGTCTTCCAAGCAGTTCTTGACGCCCACTTGTTCAAACTATTTTTTTTTTTGTGATAGTCAGTGAACGAAAAATATGGTTCCCAGGCTTTTTAAAAGCACTCAGAGCATGAAGTTTGAGGTTCAATATCGGCCAATGGAGAAACACTCCATGAATCGCTGCTCAGTGAAACTTTTAATGCGCCGGTTTTGCTAACCGAGCTACACGGCGTCGACAACGTTCTCCGGTAATACATCTGCAGCATTTTTTCAAATCAAAAGTGTTTTTTTTTGAAATGTCTTGGTTGCCGATACAGTTGTGCCTCATTCTCGGTTATTAGTTCTTATATTTTACATATGCAGATTCAAGTGTTATATAATTTTGGCAATAGCGATTAATTGCGCAATACGCGACCCTAGTTTAATCACCGTCTCACAATGTGTTC